TTCCGTGCACCTTCGTCCTCCTATATTCTTTCTCTCTCTCTTTTCTCTTCGCGCCCGCCCGCCTTACCGATACAAATGTCAGAAGCGCGCCCTCGCCCACCAGCTGCGAATATAAATCCCGCAGGCCGGCGGCAGCTAGTCGAGCCGTTCGGGCGGGGGAGAGGCGGTCGGGCTCCAAGCGCGGTGTGCGCAGAGGAAGGAGGAGGGGCGGCTGCCTCGCTCCGCTGTGTGTGAAGTTTCACGTCCCGACATTTGCACGCCGTCCGCCGCGTGTCAGGCCTCGGAGCTCGCAAATCCACCCTCGCTTTGCGCGTTTCAGCTCTTCGCTCTCCGCGCCTTCATACCCCCCAGAAGAGAAAGAGAGAGAGAAAGAATATAGGAGGACGAGGTGGCGACGGAAGCGCAGGAAGAGAAGAGAAGAGAAGCGGAGAGCCAAAAGAGCGGGCGCGAACGTGCGCTGCGAGGTCGGAAGGCCGGAGGCGTTGGGGACGGCCCACGGGGAGGGGGACGCGGGGTGGACGCGGGGAGGTCGCCACCGCCGGATTACCGACGCCGGGGCAGAAAAACGGGCGCGATAAAACATGTCCCGCGGGCGGCGGCGCCCCTCCCGGCCGCGCCGCCTCGCCTCGCCCCGCCCCGCCCCCGCTACGCTACCTGTCTTCCCCAGCGGTGCCGCCGGGGCGGGGGCGGCTAATTTATTCAACAGCGCGCCTCCGCCTCCGCCGTCACCTCCTCTTCCGCCGGCGAAGCGCACCGCTGCAGCCACCGCCTCCGCACCAGCGCCCGCCCGGAAAACATCGGCGGCGACGGCGGCGGTGGCCATGGCGGAGCCGCCGCCACCGCCACCGCCGCCGCCGCTGCCGTCCTTTTCCCACACCCCTGAAACGCAGATAAACTGCCGCAACCCGCGCCACACAATTTTTATCAGCGTCGCCCGGCGGCCGGCCACCCCGTCGCCGCCCCCGGCCCCGCGGCTTTCAGCGAGGGGCGCCAGCTACGTCTGCGTTAGAAGGGGTGGACCTCCGTGAGCCCAAGGGGCTGGCGGGAAGCGGTCGCCCATTTTTTTTTCTCGGGAGTTGATCACACAACGTATTGCAAAGAAATGGTCTTTTCGATCCCTGCACTACAATAAACGTCCCACGCGCGTCAAGGGCACTACTCTTAATGGGTTATTTTAATTCAAAAAGATATCAGAAGACTTATAGAGCGTTCCAAATATTGACAATAAACTCATCAATTTTCGGATAAAGTGAAGTACATTACAGGTAACATAACAAATTTACAATGACAACTTTTCATCGTATTTGAAAAATGCCTCTAGCGTTTTTGGAAAAGTAGTAAGTTCGACTCATGCTACCGCAAAAAGCAGAAAATGAAAAGAAAAAAATCAGAAATGTACAGATTCATTGCACGTAAAACAAGAAGCTTATTGCTTGGACTTACTCTCAGAAAAACACATCCTCTTTTGACAACGCGATGCCAGCGAAGTCAGATGAGCAAAGTCTAAGGACCATGAACACTTGGTCGCGTAACTTTCCCTGGACTCTGGCATCCATCGCGAGACCAAACCAATCACCTAGTACAATCACCTAGTACAATCTGATTTGAACAGTTGCTGAATTCTTACAAATCGGAAAATCCCTGAAGTGATGTGAACAAAGGTTTTCTGATATCAATTCCGCAACAGACATGTCGAGAGAGTAGTAGTGTAGAGAGCTTATAATCAAATTTAACGCAATGACATGAAAAAATATTCGCCAAAATTAAGCCATAACAGAGTATAAAAAACAATATTATTACGATTCATTATCAATCCGCCATAAAGGACAATTTGAGCATACGAGTCCTCAAATTTATCTCTTAATCCATATTTCGGAGACTTCCTCACGAAGACCTACACTAACTAATCAAAGCAGACAAACGCATTACTATCTAGAGTAAATTGGGCCCTAAATTAAGATGATTCGAAAGTGCGAGTAATTTCCTCCAAGAAAGAACACACAACAGTTTTATAGCCAAGTCGTGACAATTAAGGAATCTAAGTAGGTATTAAGGTATATTATTGCCGCAAGAACTATCTTAGAAAATATAATGCTATGTATGACTATCATCGAGTCCACATCTCACACTCTACCAGTCATAATCGTGTAAAAACATAGGACTCTTTACATTATTTGGTATCCACATTAAACTAAAAAAGAAAAAAAGATTTCAATGGCTCAGCGAAAAATTGATACGTTTCAATGTAAGAACATATACACCAAAGAAACTGAACTTCAAATAAATTTAGGGGTGCCACAAACCTCTCTGCTTTTTGTTTTATTTGAGGGGGGGGGGGCAATTTGAGTACCTTTTTAGAAACAAGTAAATATTTAAATGGTAATTTAATGGAATTTTTAATGTACATTTAGCTCAGGCGGGGTCCATTAAACCCCTTTAACACTGTCATAAAAAGCGGTACTTAGTTGACTCTATGAGAAACTGTAATTGGACAATGGGTAATTTCACGTTAAAACTATAAATTAAACAATTTTCAAATGTCCGTGAAAAATGAATTTATATCCAAAGAACTTTGCTTATACAAATTTCAAGTTTGAAATCTCTTCTTTAAGATTAGCGCATCAAACAATTTAACCACTTCACTGCAATCGGCTAACATTTGCGCCGCGCGCAGAGGGTGCTATGTTAACGGTACATTTGAGCAGCGCTGTTGTGATTTTATTCGCTATTAGCCTGCAGTGAACCTATTTGTAGCGATCACAGGCGGATTCGAAGTTACTAGATTTCGGGTCCTGGTTTCAAAAAAGCGAATACATTTTGTTTCTATATGTAGTAAATTACTTTGATTATCGCGTTGTATAGCCAGAATCCTCTTTCTGTGGATTTATGGTACCGAAAACTGTATTGATAGCAAAACTTTGTATGCAAGTCTGTGTTCAAAGGTAGCGAATATACCGTTCAAACGATAGAAAACAAATCGTCAGAACGGTTTAGGCGCTAGCGTTGACTACAGCCTTGCCGACAATCGATTTTAGGCATCAAAGACCCACAAAATGTGGATTCTCCCCACGCTGGAGGACGTAATTTCCTACACATAGGAACAAGACTTATTCACATTTACATTACGAGTTTCAGGTAACGAGTTTCGACAACAGTGTTCACCGATTTCACCGAAAAATCGTCGATTTTGACCGCTGCATTGCAATACTATCTCTTCACGACGTAAACGTAGTAAGGCGAGAATGTAAAAACACATTTAATGTATCAGGGGACCCAAAAACCTTTATTAGCGTTGAAAACTTGACATCGGCGGCGCTTCATAACTTCCTCAGTACGATATGTATGTGCATGTACGATAAAGTAAAAGTTACGGTTCCCTTGCCACCCTCGGCCGTGGCTATAAGACAAGACAATCCAACATTATTCCGAACAAATTAAAATCAATAGTGTTTAACTACATATAAGAATCAAAAACCATAAGTAGCTATTTAATGTTTGTATTATTCAAAATGAATTAATAATGCCTGGAATTCGAATAACTTCGGCCTTAAGCCCGAAGATGATATTAGCCACCAGGTGCCAAAGGTAAGTGATGTACGGTACGGTGACAAGAAATATCGGACTGCTAGTGCGTTTTTGCAAGAGAGTGACAAGGTGTTCAGTTTCGAGTTTCACTGTGTCTTTGACGATTCCACCAACCTAACCTCCCTAAACTTGGTTGCCGCATCACTGCGCTTTTCAGAGTTGCCGGCGTTCGGCCTTCGCGATTTACATTAAAGAGCCAGAGAGTGCAATGCATCATCCAACACATGTTTATACCAAATATTTTTTGCTAAGGCACAAACCGCTTCTTACTCAGATAAGTACTGTCCTACAGCAGATCCTGGCCGTTAACATTAGTAGGAGGAAGTTCGAAATGATCAGTTCATCGTCATTAAAACAGCTTTATCGCCACCTCTGGCTAATGGGCGATATTACCTGGCACCTCTAACATTAGCCATATTTCGGACTTTAGCCGTGACACCCCTCGCCAATCACGAGTGAGTTCTACGAGCTCTTTCTTGGAAATAAATGACTGGCAAAAACCGTTCGAAAACGGTTCTTTCAAAGTTGACATCACTCATCAAAAACTGTATTTAAAATCCTCCAATAGAGATGTATTTTGCAGCCACATTCTCAAAACGTCTTAAGCACATCCAATGTGAGGAAAATCTACATCGCCAATCAAGAGTCTCTCTTCACGATACACGAGCGCCGCAACTGGAATCGACTCGCCCAGTGCCGTTTGGAGCGCGCGACATACAATAGCGCGGTGGCACATCGCACGCATTCGACACTCAACCAATATTTCGCGCGCGTGCACACACGCACACACGCCGCCTAATAAGTTCCAGAAATAAATAACAACCTTGCGGTAATAAATAATTTCACCCAACAAAAAAAACGCGCCACCGCAAATACGCCTCTGGAACGCAAAGTTAATTCGGAATTAGTACGGCAGAGCAGGAATATTCGGAATGAAATATTAATTCAATTTTTCCGAAAGCAAAAACAGAACGAGCCGGCAGTCTGTGTTATTCCGCACGTGCTGTGCAAACGCGCGCTTCGGAGACACGCCCGCCGCCGCCGCCGCCGCCCACTCCGCGGCAGCCGTGTTGTTTTTAGAGCGGCTAGACGGCCACATAGAGTTTCATTTGCAAGCGAGCGGAACTCTCCCCCAGACCGCACGCAGCGGCTGCCACCGCCGCCTCCGCCTCCGCGCTCATCTCGTCGCGTTCCGCCCCGCCCCCGCCCGCCCCATCAAGCCCAACGGTCGGA